GAGATTCCACCTCACCACATGAGTTGACAGGTGGCGTCTGTTCTGTGGTTTTCAGCAAAATTTATGTGGCAAGAATGTGAACTCATGTGAACTCATCGGGGATGGCAAGATTGTGGTCTTTATACAGACTTTTGGTAGCACTGCGATAACTGCTGAGTGTGCCAGGCTGAATCGCCGGCTTGTTGCGCACAGTCCATACCAGGAACTCGAGAAAGTCGTTGTAGCTGAATTCACTTAGGTCGAGGGAATAGCCACATGCCGACTCGCTAGACTCACGAAGCAGGTTGTTCTTGTACACTAGCTTGGCCCATTTCACTACTTGATTGATGCCCGACGCATAACCAGTTCGAGTGTCCTCACTGATCCTGTTGCGACGTGCTTCCTCGATCGTGGAGCTGCTGCGGCTGGTCATTTGTGATAATGAGAGGCAGTAGGAAACAAACAATTCTATTGGCTTGATTTACTTCATTTCTTAGCCTATAATTGGACAAAAGATTCGCAAGGCAGCTCGCCTGCGAATGTAGCAAAAAGATGGATTAAGGAGAATTATTTATATTGTATACAAATATGAAGAGACATTAAAGTATATTCGCTAAATTAGAGATAGAAATATGGAAATCGCAAGGTGGGTCACCTTGCGAACTTACTAAAATTCACTGTTTCACCTTGCTTTTTCTGGTTTATGACTGTAAATTGGTCTTAGCCACACCGAAGGGGTTACGCGTGCATCCAGGGGAATTTAGCCAATCACGTCCAGCTACTGCGAACAGCTGATTTGATTTGTCATCGAAATAGTATTTCGAATTAGATAGGCCAATCGACGTCCACATCCAGAATATACTTGGACTGAATTGGCAAACGGCGACGTTTTGCATGACTGGTATTGTACGTACAGAAGTTTGATATACTGGTTCTATAGTGTAATGGTTAGCACCCCAGACTTTGAATCTTGTATTCCGGGTTCGAATCCCGGTAGAACCTGTTCTTTTTCCTCTTTTACCAATGATCTTTTTGCAACGTTGCCTCTGCTACCATAAACGCGCGGCGAGTCCCTAGTCTCTCGAATTGTTACACCCCATCATAGACTGCACATTGTTTAAGACCATGCAGGTCAAAAACTCCAACATGGACGTACCTTGTCCTTGGGGTATATTCTGAATGAAATTGTAAAGGTCTGGTGTTAATGCACGTTATTCACATTCTCACGTCAGAAAATCGGACCAGAGTTGATTTGGTGTGGAGTAGACTTTGTACACGTACTAATACACATTCACACAAGGTACTTCAGGCTTAAAGTAGTGTTGCAAACAACAACAAATCCCGCCTGATTCACCGAATATCGAATGGAACACTTAGTCGCTTCTTTCGCTTTCACCCACAAACATGACACACTTGCCCTCTCCACAATTCAGCAACATGAGACACCTCGGGCTGTATATATATTGAATAATATTATCAATAGTGCAAATTTT